GCTGTGGTGGCCGGGAGCGGCCACTGCACTCCAGTCTGGGTGACGGAGTGAGACTCCAACTCAAAAAAAAAAAATACCGAAACCAGAGGAGGCATGGAGGGAAAGCGTGCACTGACAAGGAAACTGGATCATGGTGACATTCCTCCCCACTTCACAGGGTTGCTCTCCTCCTGGCTCCAGCATTGCACAATCCTGGACCCTTCTGCATTAGCACTTTCATATCACCAGGACGACAGATACAGTAAATCAGAGATCTTACCAAATGAAAATTAAATTGGTTTCAGTTCGGCTTAGTGACTTGAAATTAAGATTCAGGTTTAGGTTGCACAGCAGTGTGGATGTACTTAATGCCACCCAACTGCACACTTAAAAAAGGTTAGAATGGTGAATTTTATGTTAGATATACTTTATCACAATAAAAAAAATTGTAGCCAGGCTCGGTGGCTCAGTCTGTAATCCCGCACCTTTGGGAGGCTGAGCCTGTGGGTTCAAGACCCACCTGGGCAGCAAGACCTCATCTCTACAATAAATAAAAAAAAAATCAGCCGGGCGTGGTAGCGCATGCCTGTAATTCCGACAACTTAGAAGGCTGAGGCGGAAGGATCGCCGGAGCCCAGTAGGTCGAGGCTACGGTGGCCGGGAATGGCCACTGCACTCCAGTGTGGGCGACAGAGTGAGACTCCAACTCAAAAAAAAAAAAAAAAAAAAAATTGTGCTTATTTTTTCCAGTTCTGGATAGTCTCTAAAACTAGCTTGGTTTGACTTTCATTTACTGCTGCTTTCAGTGCCCTTTGAATCTGCTTATACTTTACTGAAATACAAGGAGGGACCCAAAAACCTGAAATTTATTAATAGAAAATTGCATATTTATTCTTCCAAGTTTAAACTTGAGTCATCTTCAGAGTACTCTGTTTGATGCAATACACCTATCGAGATGCTTTTTCCACTGCTCAAAACAGTTTTTGAACTTGTCAATTTTAGTGCCTCTTAGTGCTTCTTCTGTTTTTTGTTTCAATTCTTCCATATCAGCAAAATGTTTCCCTTTGAGGACTGTTCTCATTCAGGGAAACAAAACAAGTCACTGGGGCAAAATCAGGTAAACAGGGAGGATGGGGTACAAGGGTCACCCTGTTTTTGGTCAAAAACTACTGAAAACTCAGCCAGGTATGGGCAGGTGCGCTCATAAATCAACCATCATGAAATGGGTAAATCCACTGAAAGAATCTCAAAAAAAAAAAAAAAAAAAATTCACTGAAGCTGAATGCAGCCTCTCACAACAATGCTAGCTGGCATACTGATGCTGATCAGTTCCTAGAACACTTACCTAATAGGGAAAGCCTTGTACTACAAGAGACCCACTTCGCAAAAGAATTCCGGTTGTTTTTTTTTTTTTAGTCTCCCTTGTATTGCTATTTTGATTAGGGATTCAGCAAATATGCGTGGTTTGCTATGGATTTTGGTACACAAATAAGTTAATGCTTCATTGAAAAATATTTATGTCTTTGATCCAAAGAAAGGTACCAAATTTTCTTGGCAGTTGATTTCACAATATCAGAATTTAAAATATCACCTGACCCAGCAATTCTACTTCTAGGAATATTTTTTCTAGATTTACACATACAAATAAATCAAAAGACTTATTCAGAGGAGTTTTACTGGAGTATGTAGACATCTGGAAATGACTATAAACATAAAACAAGAAAGAATTGGTTAACTTATAACTTGTCTGTACAACATAATACTATGTATACTTTAAAGACAGGCAGAATATACTGACAGTGAAAGGCAGCTATCATAAGTAACAAGAGAGAAAAGAACACTATGTATAGTATAACCCCATCTATATAAAATAACAGTAAAGGAAATGAACACTCATTTACATATATTACTTTTGTGTGTGTGTGTGCGTGTGTGTTGGAATCTCATTCTGTTGCCCAGGCTGGAGTATACTGGCACAATCATGGCTACTGCTACTGCAGTCTTGACCTGCTAGGTGGGCTCAGACTACCCTTCCACCTCAGTCTTTCAAGTAGCTGGGATTACAGGAACATGCCACTATACCTGGCTAATTTTTTTTATTTATTGTAGTGATGAGGTCTTGCCATGTTGCCCAGGCTGCTCTCAGATTCCTAGGCTCAGACAATCATCTCACTTTGGCCTCCCAAAGAGCTGAGATTATAGGTGTGAGCCACCATGCCCCACCAAATATTACTTTTATTTAGAAAAAAAAATTAAATGAACAAAGTACTACCTACGCCCATTCTCACAGGTGAAGCAACTTGAGCAACCAGCTAATAACCTGGAGACACCTCCAATTAATCATTATCATCACTTCTAGACTAGGCCACCATCTGGCCTTGCTGCCACAGTCACATACCTCTGTAAGTGGTAGATCTTGTGTGTGTACTGGCCTTTCTCACCATCCTTCTCATAGGGTTCGTTCACCAGGACCTCCACACCTTCACCACCACCCGTTTCATTTTTACTGGCCTCAGCCACAGAATACAGCTGCCCTACTTGATACTAAAAGAACAGAGAGACAAATGTTATACTCAACAAGGAATCTTCTCAACAATTACACATAGCCCAGGTGCCAGTAACTGACCAATTAGGTCACCCTAGGATCCCCTCATCTAGGAGCTCATTCTGGAATTTCACATTGGGCCTTGCCCAAATCCACTGAAAGCAACTTAGAATGCTGTTCCACGGCCTCTCTTTAGCCATTAGATGTGTTTAATTTCATCCTTGCCATTTTCACATCATCCATCAGAGTTTAAAGAGGCAGGTGAATATATTTAACCTCAGACTATCATCCAGGAAACAAATTATAAGGTCCAAGATACCTTTTTCCCTGGACATGCCTCTAGTATTAAGACCACAAAACAGGCCGAGGATGGTGGCTCAAGCCTGTAATCCCAGCACTTTGGGAGGCTGAGGCAAAAGGATTGCCTGAGCCCAAGGGTTTGTTCAAGACCAGCCTGGGCAACTTGGTGAGACCTCATCTCCACAATATATCCAAAAATTATCTGGGCTTGGTAGCACATGCCTGTAGTTCTGGCTACTTGGAAGGCTGGGGTGAAAGGATCACCTGAGCCCAGCAGGTTGATGCCGGGGTGGCCGTGAGCATGCCATTATACTCCAGCCTGGGCGACAGAGTGAGACTCTGACTCAAAAAAAAAAAAAAAAAAAATAGATCACAAAACAGGATCTGGGTTGGTTGCTAAAAATATATTTTTCTTATTCATTTAAACAGATCCTAAGACATAACTTCTTGTCAAAGATAGTTGCCTAGTGCTCTGTGAAATCCATAACCTCTACTATATTTGTTTTTGCTTTTTCCCCCCCTGAGTTGGAGTTTCACTATGTTGCCCAGGCTGGAGCACAGTGACATGCTCACAGCTACGGCAGCCTCAACCTGCTGGAGTCAGGCAATTCTTCTGCCTCAGCCTTCCAAGTGGCTGGATCTACAGGTGTATGCCACCATACTCAGCTTATTTTTTAATTTATTGTAGAGACGAGGTCTCACCAAGTTGCCCAGACTGGTCTTGAATCCCTGGGTTCAGGCGATTCTCTTGCCTCAGCCTCCCAAATTGTTGGGATTACAGGCATGAGCCACCACATCTGGCTACAACCTCTATTGAAAAATTGGCTCATCTACTTGCTTTTTCTCCCATGTTGGGCCCCTCCTTACCCCAAGAGTAGCTCAAAGAAGAATCTTTCAAGCAAGTAAACCTCCTGACACTTTCCAGAATCCTGATAGGGCTGAAGCAAGTACTCCTCCTTCACTTATCAGATAGTGCAGATTCCTATCCCACAGTCTGTGCCAACTGGGTGCACCCTGTGTGTTGGCACTTACTAAATGGCAAAAGTCTGGTTTTTCTTTATTTGGGTCACATGCTACCCTATCAAGTCACCAGTCAAGATCATTGGCCTCCTCTGACCCTGTCAGGACAGTTCAGTGTTAGGGCATTGCCCAGTCCTGGTCCTTCTGTCCCCTTCTCTCTGAGAAAAGCTATCTAGAGGGGTAAATTAGGTGAAAAGAGAATGAACAGCAACAGTTAATGCAGGAAGTTATATCTACACCGGCAGATGCATTTTTCTTATCACCACCAGTGCCAACCAGAAACAACAATTTAGGGAATATGAGAAAAAGACAAAAAGATACTTGATTACCCAACATGCTGGGGGAATGGGAGGGAGATAAAGGTTTTCCTCATCCTCTTTACTCTCTCCCCAAACTCCTGGTACTCCCAGAGGTGAAAGACAAAGATGTTTCTCTTTGAGATTAAAACAGAGAGGCTGTATCTCTAGGCGGCTGCAACAGAAAGGAGCAGATGCAGTTTCCAGGGCTGCTTCACCTGTACCTTGGAAGCCTGCTCTAACAAGCAGCTTCCTGAGCACCACAGAGAAATTTCTGCGCAAAATCCAGAAGGTGATGCAGAGGACCAGGACAATCTACTGCTCACCACAAAGCTGAAAGAGCTCTAACTTCCCAAACAAAAACCCAGTAGAAAATGTCAAGAAAAGGCCCAGGCATGCAATCAAGGCTCAGTTAATCCTATAAAGAGGAACATCTGGGTAAGAGCCAGTCACTTTGACCTTGCTAATCCTGAGCGATATCAGTGCTGCCTCAATGGCCTCTGTACCCCAAAGTGTCCCTGTGCCTTTCCAAGTCCACCACCTACCTGAGGCACACACGAAAACCCCTGTCAAGTGAGTCAGGGCTTGGCTGAGCCAGGGATTCCTAAGAAGGAGCAGCAACTCCATTTCAGAGAAGAGTAATAAGAACATCTAACCACTGACTCAGCAATCCTAAAGGGCAGCCCTGGGAGAGGGCCTGGTGGAGGGGACTAGGCTGCTGGTAAATGGTGCTGCTTGGGGAGGGAGCCCCAGGCAGAGACTAATCGCCTTTACTTGGTTTCTCTTCAGCTGCAGGAATCAGAGGGCAGGTTCTAAGAGGATCAGCTTGTTGGCTGGCATCTTCCCCCTTTAATCTCTCTTGATATTCTGATCCTTTAATCCCAAATGAGACAAGTGAACGCAGTAAAACTGGCCTGCACAAGTTATAAGCGAGGGAGACACTTTTCACATCAGAGTTCCCTTTGGCATAGTTGCTCTGCACCCTAGGAAAGCAGCAAGACTCAGATGGGATGAAGGCGGGAGGGGGAGTCGGTCCATTAAATCAGATAAAGTATCCCAAGAAGACTGGGACTTCAGCCTCCTTGGGTCTAGGATGATGCCCCCTACCCTTGAGATTTGTTCCCTTGTCCCAAAAAACAAAGATACTCAGCGAAGAAAAACAGACTCTACCACTTGGGCAATCTGGGAGTGGGAGCCCAGATATAGTGGGTGGATCAAAATACTGAAATGAAACATATCATGGAAAACAGTATAGCTACTGGTCCCACGCACACAGTCCTCCCTGTCAGGCCAGGTACCATAAGGGGAATAGTGCTTTGAAGCTCTGGGAATGAGAAATAAAACTGCCCTGTCTACAGTTACAGGGTAGGCTGACCTGAGCCAGAAACCACTGGTGGACATACTCATGTCAAACAGCCAGGGCTTTCTTGCTCTGCTGCAGAATGCCTAGAAACTCTGTTCCATATTAGGACAAAGGTTTTGGCCAGCCAGAAGCTAATTCTGCTCCCAAAATATTGGTGCAGGCCATAAGAATGATTAAAAAGACATAATATTCTCTTTTCTCTTTCTTTTCCCCCCAAATCAGAAAACACCAAGGGTCTCAAGTCATGGCCTGTAATTTAGGAAGGTACTTTACCAGTAACATGCGTTGGGCTGTTCCCATGGAACCAGTCACCCCTAAGTCAGTTTGGGGCTACTGAGAAGGTCGATCATTACTTGTTTCTTCTTTAGCTTCCCCATTCAAGATTTTTCTGATCTTCTGGAACTAAGGTTCAAGTTGTCAAAAGAGCAGCTTCCGCTTCAACCCTACCCAAGCCATGTACTGCTTTCTTGTCAGTGGTTTTTGCTGAGACGGGCTGACCGTCACCAGGCAGACAAATGAATCCTAACCAGTGTTTGCTTCCCAAGCTTCTGCTTGGACTTTAGGATGATTACTTCATCCAGCCCCACCACTTCCTCAAAACTGAAAAAAAAAAAAAAAAATCTTCACAGGCAAAAAACCACCAACTGTGTACATTCTCAAGGTGAGCGTTCCCTTTTCCTTCCATCCTGGCCCCAACATAAGCCATCAGTGTTCTGGGCCCTTTGGCCTTACTACGGAGCAACCAAGAGGTGTTCCAAGAAACTCTCCTTGGTCTGCAGCACTTCTCAGAAACATTCCCATCCTTTGCTCCATCAAAAAACTCCCTGTAAAAAGATCCATTTCATCCCTAAATACCACACTGAGGAAATCCTGAGTTTCTGGGGGACATATTCCTGATGGCAGGGTATTAGTGGGACCATCCTGTACAACAGAGAGGAAGTCACTGGAATCCCCAAGGGCCAAGTTTCAGGGCAAGGGAGATGCTGGGCCTTCCTGCTTGGTCTTCTGGTTTAGAAAATCATCATCTGCTATTTTTTTATTTTAACTCTTTTTTTTTAAGCTTGCAGATGCACTTTATTGAGTGCTGGAACATTTATACAGGTCAGAGGAGGGTCTGAGCCATAGCTGACCAGACCTCTGGGGGCATCTGGTTGATAGGGAGGAAATTTTTTAACTTTTTTTTTTTTTGAGTTGGAGTCTCACTCTGCCACCCAGACTGGAGTGCAGTGCCCGCTCCCGGCCACCGCAGCCTCAACCCGCTGGGCTCTGGAGATCCTTCCGCCTCAGCCTTCCAAGTAGCTGGAACTACAGGCATGCGCTACCACGCCCAGCTAATTTTTTAATTTAGTATAGAGATGCAGTCTCACCAAGTTGCCCAGGCGGGTCTTGAACCCACGGGCTCAGGCAATCCACTCACCTCAGCCTCCCAAAGCACGGGATTACAGGCTGAGCCAATTGAGCCCAGCTAATTTTTTAACTTTTAAAAAATACTTTTATTTTAAAAATGTAGGGTATACTTGCTTTTTATTTTTTATTTTTTTTTATTTTACTTATTTTATTTTTTTTTGAGTTGGAGTCTCACTCTGTCACCCAGAGTGGAGTGTAGTGGCCGCTCCCGGCCACCGCAGCCTCGACCTGCTGGGCTCTGGCGATCCTTCCGCCTCAGCCTTCCACGTAGCTGGAACTATAGGCGTGCGCTACAACGCCCGGCTAATTTTTTATTTTATTTTATTGTAGAGATGAGGTCTCGCCTGCCCAGGTAGGTCTCGAACCCGTGGGCTCAGGCAATCCACTCACCTCAGCCTCCCAAAGGCGCAGGATTACAGGCTGAGCCACCAAGCCCGGCTATACTTGCTTTTTAAATAAAGACAGCAAAGTCCCCAAAGGACCCCTCCAAGTTAGCCTAGGCACCCAGGTCCCTGGGATCACAGCATCTAACCAGCCATCCCCTCTTCTTTCCAGGCTCCCCAGTCTTGTTACTCTTATTTGTCCTTTCCAGAACTCTCAGGTCAAGGTCATGTCCACCCTTGGCCCCCATTCTCAGGTCCCCATAGCTCTTATCAGACATGCAGCCTACCACAGGAGGCAATCCTTTAGGGGGCCAAGGTCTCCCCACCCCTCTTGGAGGCCAACACACTTGGACATTTGTCCCAGCTAGAGTGCTGCAGGCTCTATCGGCCTCATTTAATTTTTCAAAGGTCCAGTTCATATTTGGAACAGAGTAGAAGTTATCACAGGAGCTTCATGCTGACACTGTAGGAAAGAGAGATGAAACTCAGTGACTGAGCACTATACTGAGGGCACTATATGTGAGGTGGGCCTGTGAATTCAGAAGGAAGCAAAGAACAGGGCTGTGTCAGGAAAGAAAAGTAGAGGAAGTTCAGAGACAGGGTGGAACAAGGGAGGCTCCGTGAGTTTTCTGTTGTCCTAGAGACCAACTCTGAGTCAGCACGGCCTATGATCCTTCTTACAGCAAATCTGCTGCCAGATCCCCATACATAGGGATGTCAGACCCAGGAGCCATAAAAGGACAGAGGGTAAGCCAAGCCCATTTGTTACTCCCTACCCTCTGTAAAAGGAGGACTCTGTGTCTTGGTCTTTCCAGTAGTCACCTAGCATGGCTAGGAAGGGTTGCAGAGATTTCCTGTCCTGCTGGTTTGTCATACAACCAGAGAGAGTCATATACGCTTCCCAGCCAAGTCATGGAGGTCTCAGAAATGTACATACTCAATCATATTAATAACAGGCACCCCTACCGTAACCCAAATAGGTACAGTCCCAGCAGATAAAAGGGGCTGGTTTAGTCTCTATTAAAAGTAATCCAGCATGCCAAAGCCTGAGGCAGGTTGCATACAGTTGTCTAGATATACAAAATAAGTGTCTTCCTTCAAATGAAAGTGGCACCAGGAAAATTCACATTAAGCACTGTTTATTTCTACATTAGAACAAATATGAAAACTATTATGAAGAGTACGGCCACTCAGAGCCCAATTTCACCAACAGTCACAAGCATTTTTATACAATTATGGATGAAAAAGAAAAAGGACTTACCTCATCTACAGATACAGGCAGGATGACTCGACTACAAGAAAGGAAAAAGAGTATCAACTTTAGGCTCTGCAGCCTCCCAAGGTCCTTAAGGCATCATCTTAGAACAGCATTCAACGTTTCACAACATATGACACAACACTCTGATAAAAACAAGTGCATCGAGGCTAGGATCTAGTGTGAGATCCAGTCTAAACCTGTCTCCCCAACCAGCTACTTCCTAGGCTTCTGGGTCACATTTGGAACAGTTTTCTTTCCCTTCTCCCTCACCCATGACTTCCCCAACAAGACATGCTATGAGTCTAGTAAAAGAAAAGTTAACCCAGGAGGACCTACCATGACGAACATTCAGACACAGACAATCAGGCCTCGGATTTATACCTCTGTGGAGTCAACCTCACAACAAGAACCCTCAAGGTAAAAGGTAAGATAGCTGGGCTCAGTGGCTCAGCCTGTAATCCCGCGCCTTTGGGAGGCTGAGGTGAGTGGATTGCCTGAGCCCGCGGGTTCAAGACCCGCCTGGGCAACTTGATGAGACCTCCTCTCTACAATAAATAAAAAGTTAGCCAGGCGTGGTAGCACGGGCCTGTAGTTCCAGCTACTTGGAAGGCTGAGGCGGAAGGATCTCCGGAGCCCAGCAGGTCGAGGCTGCAGTGGCCGGGAGCAGCCACTGCACTCCAGTCTGGGTGACAGAGTGAAACTCCAACCAAAAAAAAAAAAAAAATGTGACATAGAAGGGGCCAAGCCCCCTGGAGGCTTCATCACCCTAAGAGCACATGCCGACCACCTTTGCTCTGGTGCAGGATATTACAATACAATATTGTATTACCACAAAGCCCACAAAAGAGGGCACCCAACTTGTGTCTTGACCTCCAGGACCTGTCTAAAGACACCCCAACTGATCATTTTCTTTTTTTTCTTCAACCCAGCTAACAATTGCTGGGGGTACCATGGGCCAACAAAGTCTCCACAAGGGTCAGGACATCACAGAGGTACTAGGGCTAGTGGCATTTCTCTGGGGGGCTTGTATTTGTAATGCAGACCAACAGCCAATCCCTAGTTCAAAGCTGAAAGGTCAGAGAGTTGAAGAAAAACCCTTGGTTGTATGCATACAAGTCAAGCCAGTTCCCAAGCTTAGATTCAGTCCCCAGACTCTTGCTGGAACCCTCTGGGCCCTTCTGTGTCTTGCATGCTTAGTGAAGCATGAGCTGCTATGCCCTCCTTATGCGGTAGGCTCATCATTCAGCCTCCATGTTCCAAGCTGGTTAAATAGCTCACTACTTTCTGGTTCCACGAAGTCCCCTAAGAATCCAGAAGCACACAGAGGAGTCTAAGGAAACATCATGCCAAGGGCAAGACACCAAGTAGAAAAGTAGCAGGAAAAACAAAATGGGCTCCAAGTCTTTACTTTCTGCTAACAACGCCCTTCCTCCAGAACGACTCAAATAATGTAAATCTTCCAGTTTATTGGATGACGCTACTAACGTTCTCCTCCCATTAGAGAAAGCCAACAGTGCAGAAAAATCCTCCCAACTTAGAGGCCAGAATTTCTGTACCCTCAGAAGAAACTTCCTAGAAAACAATAAGCCTTTTATCTTCAAGAATAGCAGCAAAAATCACATCCAAGAATTTGCAGAAATCAAATCAAGAAGAATCCTGTAAGAGGAAGTGTCAGAAAAATCAGCAGGGACAATCTTCAGGCCCTGGGTGGGTATCAAGTCTTCCCCAAAAGAGACGGGCACCAGCCAATTCCTGACAGGATGCTCTGAGGCTGCTTACATCGCAGCTGCACACCCAGACATTTCTCTTGCTCCTCACAAACAAAACCACTTCAATTCTAAAGGATAGGGCCACAGAGGGTACAATTCTAAAGGATAGGGCCACAGAGGCAAGGCACTGCTGGACTGAGACTAGAACGGTGCTCACCATAATGTGACCTTCACTCACCCTTTCCAGAGCTGCAGCGCTGCAGCCACAGCCAAGTGTCTCCAATGCCCCCTCTTCCCTCTGTCCCCCGCCCAGGGATGCACACATAGGGCACAAGTCGGGCAGGAAGGAAATGCAGATGCCAGGCAGGCTCTGCGTCCCCAGCACCTTGGATGTTTCCCTGGCAGACTTCAAGGGGAGGAGAACAAAGAATGGAAAAGGAGCACCTCTCTCTTAAAACTCACTCAGATCTCTTCTGAGGTTCCTTCCTTTCCCTGCCTGACCTTCATTTCAAAACTATAGATTTCTGCAGATTACAGGATTCATCTGGGAATAGGAATAAGGATCATAAGAATGGGAAAAGCTTCTTAGTCTGGATATTCAAGATTAAAATCTAAAGGGCACCATGTTTTCCTCTTGTTGGCACCCTAAGGTTCTTCCTCCGCACCACAATAAAGCTCTGAGTTCTGGCTGAATTAACATCAGACTGGATGTCAAGAAAGAGAGATGGTGGGGCCTCAAAATGCTTCTCTTCAGATGATGTGTCAAGCTGGGATGATACCTGGGTCTCTGCTCTCTTTGTTATTTAAACTCCACACTATGTCCTAAATACCTTCAAGGAGCAAGCCTGGTGGGGATGGACAGTGTCTTCACTGGCAAAATGGAAAGAGCCCTCTGCACACCACCTGGCTACCAAGAGAGTTCCACAAGTTGCTCTCTGCTTGGACATTTCCAGCTTCTGGACTTTTGGGGCTTCTGACCCAGTGCTGCCCACCTACCCACCCCCCAGGGAAGCAGTTCTGCTGCAAATTCTGCACACACACATATCTAATCTCTCCTCTTTGGAGGGAAAAAAAGACCCTGATGTTTACTTAGAACCACAAGCTTCAGGGACACATCATCTTGTTGAAAGATTTAGCAATCCCAGCATCTCCACCTGTCACTCAATCCCCTGGATTTCAGGAGCAAACCCATCTTCCTGCAACTCCTACCAGAAGTCACCAGTTTCCCAGCCCCCCAGTCACTCCCAGGAACTCCACTCTTCGCTTTCTTTTCCTCAGTTAATGGCTTCATGGACACCTCAGTTCCTCAAAGCAATTTCTCTGTGCTTTGCAGCAAGACTGAGCATTCCCTAGAAACAAGCTGGCTCTGCTCTGGTCCTCCCATCCCCTCTAATATTAGGTACATTCTTTCATATTCACTTACTCTCCTTCTGAACTGTCTTCTGCCCTGGTGTCTTCCTAGCCAGTAGCATAAGTCCCTAATATCATGTTAGACCCTGTCCAATATTTCCTGGACTCCTCACCCAAGTGTCCCCAAGTTCCAAGCAGTCACTCTAAGTTTTTTCCAAATGCCTCCTCCTGTGCACCTACTGCTTGAGCACCATGTCACTGCAGCCCCCTGCATCTCAGTCCCCTCTGCTTTATCGCCTCAAACCCCTCCTCTTTCACCCAACCCTGGTCCTGACTCCCCGGTCCTTTTCCTGTGTCCACTTATTACTATCCTTCCCCTGGTTCCTAAAGCAGCACTCCTCATGCTCCACGTTCGCCTCAGCACTCCTCCCCATCATCTCAACTCCATTTCCAGAGCTGACCTATCCATCTCCTCTGCTCCTTAGCACTGTTCAGCCCGTATACCCCTCCCCACCACGCAGGCCCTGCCAGCCCTTGTGCAACAGCTCCTCAGTCCCTGGACAACTCCTCCAGCCCCCAGGTCCTCTCAGCCTCACACGCATTCTGGCTGGCTCAGCACTCAGCCCCACCGCAGGACCACCCCACGTCTCCTCCAGTGCTCCCGATCCCCTCGGCCCCTCCTCGTGCCCTGTCTGGCTCTCACTGTCCCCTTGACCCCACCTCGGGCCCTGTCTGGCCTTCCCTGTCCCCTCAGCCGTTCTTCAGGCCTATCCAGCCCTCGCTGCCCCTTGAGTCCCACCTCAGGCGCTGTCCGGCCCTGACGGTCCCCTCACCCCCGCTGGGCCGCCCATCCAGCGCTCTCCGCGCCTTCCGTCGGGCCATCAGCCTCCCTGGTGGCCATCCCCGACCCTCCCTTCCTCCTTGCTTCCGCACGGCCGGCCGGACACTCACTACTCCTTGAGCAGCACCATGTCGCTTCGCGGCTCGGTGGCTGCCCGCTGCCCGCCCGGCCTCCCGCC